ACAGCCTGGGTAACAAGAGCGAAACTCCATCTCAAAAAAAAAAAAAAAAGAATCTATAGAAGAGGCTATCGGGTAAATAGGTATCCTCTGTGTGGCAAGTGTCACGCCGGCGAGCTAAAGAGATGTATAGGGAGACTTCAAATACTCCGTGGAAAAAATGGAGCAAAAAGATAGTCATTAAAAACATAGTCTTTATTTTTCAACATAGCCTCCATCAAGCTCAACACACTTTTGCAAGCAGTGATACCAGCCATTCAGTCCATCCTTAAAGAAATGAGGGTCTTGGGAATTTAATCATGTCAATGCAGTCTTTTTACATTATTAACTGAAGAAAAATGAGTGCCTTTTACAAATTTTTTTAAATTGGGAAACAAAAAAAATTAAAAAAAGGACAGAAGGAGCCAAATTCGGACTGTAAGGTAGATGCCTAATGATTTCCCATCGAAACCCTCACACGATTTTCCTGTTTGGTGAGAGGAATGAGCAGGAGCATTGTCACGGTGGAAAGGACCCTCCGGTGAAGCTTTCCCAGGCATATTTCCTGCTAAGCTTTGGCTTTCTCAAAATACTCTCATAGTAAGCAGATGTTATTGTTCTTCAGCCCTCCAGAAAGTCAACAAGCAGAATGACTTCAGCATCCAAAAAATATTGTTGCCGTGACCTTTGCCCTTGACCGGTCCACTTTTGCTTTGACTGGCCCCCCTCCACCTCTTGGTAGCCCTGCTTCGATTGTAGTTTGTCTTCAGCATCATGGTAGTAAAGCTATGTTTCGTCTGCCGTTATAATTATTTGAAGAAATGCTTCAGGATCTTGATTCCACTTGTTTAAAATTTCCATTGAAAGCTCTCCCCTTAAGGTTTTCAGCTGATCTGGGCACAACAATTTTGACACCCATCAAATGGAAATTTGCTCCACTTAAATTTTTGAGTCATAATTGTATAAGCTGAACCTTTGCAATATCTATGGTGTCGGCTATTGTTTCTGCTGCTAATCATCAGCCGTCTTCAATTAGGACACAAAAAATATTAGTTTTTTCTTTGAAAACTGATATGGATTGTCTGCCACTGTGGGCTTCGTCTTCAATATCATCTCATCCCTTCTTCAAACAATTTATCCATTTGTAAACTGCTGATCGCTTTGGGGGTATTGTTCCCATAAACTTTTCATTAAAAAATCAATGATTTAATCATTCTTCCACGCAAACGTTGCCATACATTGATGGGTTTTTTGTGTTTTTGTTATTGCTTCAATTTTAATAGAATTCACGTTGCCCTGGTGGAGGCTCCTTTCAAACCGATGCCTTATTCTTCTTAGTGCCCCAAACTGGATCCTGTTCACGCACATCATAACAAGTTAGCACAAGTTTCTTTTGGTGCCAAACAAATTCTGAATCCATACATAGCATTTACATCATACCCACTTCCATAAACTTTTTGAAGGCCCCTCGCATGTGATCCCAGTCTAGGGATCAAGGTCGACTCCTATGAAAGGTGGTATCTGATGTGAATAATGAGTGAGACTTAGCCAAGCAGAGGAGGCAAGAAGAGCCCAGAGCTGAACCTAGAACCCCAGCATTGTTCCATGTGACCCACTGAAGGGCTGTGGTGGAATGATGGGAGATGAGGGTCTGGGGTCTGCAGAGGCTTAGAAGTCAACAAAGAGTTTGGAGCTAGCCCAGAGAACACTAGAGAGCCACCAGACAGTCCTATAAGAGGACACAATTTAAACTTTGGAAATGTCTCTGATAGCTGAGTGCAAAATGAATTACAGGGAGAGGGGTCTGGGTTGTGGCAGGAAGATGAGAGCCCAGCAGTGGTCCCAGGGTAAGAGGACAGTGGCTTGCACATGGGAGTACAATGGAGCTGGACTCTGACATCTTCAGGGGGGAGAATTTGGTGATGGGATTTGGTGATGGATTCACTAAGGGGATAAACTTTAGGGAGGAGGCAATGGTGGTCATGTTTCTGGTTTGGGAATCTGTGTGTGGTGACATTTACCAAGACAGGGAACCCCAGGAGCAGTTCTGCAGGATGTGATCTATCTTCTTTACTTAGAAAAAGGCAACAGTGAGAACTGAAGATGCCTATTCCAGGAAACTGCACTCCACCAACTTGAAGAAGAGGCCAGCAACACCCTGAACTCACCAGCCCTTTCCCAGCACTGCTCACTGCCAGTGCACTGCCCTGCTCCTCAAATTGTCTCTGTAATTGGACTTTGTGTACAATGAGCAGCCAAGAAAACCCAGCTCCTCCGGCTGACTCCCACAGCATACCAAACCCAGCCCCGGCTACACTTGATGACTTCAGGTGTTACTCTCTGGCCCACTCACTGTCCTGTACCAACACACACACATATGTCAGGCACTGTAGCAGCCTGCAAACCCCCCACGACCTCTTCAATCCTGAGTCATGGATGCACACCTCCGCCTGGAGCTCAGCCCCCAGCCACCCTATTCTCAGGCCCATCTATGCTCAAAGCCTCCCGGATCCCCAGGCTTCCTGAGATATCTCTTCTAGCTGAAAGCCAAGCAGCAAATGCTGTGTCAGCCTGAACCTCCTCTCCTGCGTTTCTCTGTTCAGTCACACAGAGACAGGCAAGCAAAAAGACATGACGCATCCTCCCACCATACCAAGATAACCACCTGGTTATCTTGGCCTATAAGGTCCAGTCTCTCAGAAACTGGAGTGTTCCCTTCATAGTGCTGAGCTGAACTTAAACCCAGAGAAGAACATGGGGCTGACTCAGATGCAGTCTCTATCAACCAGATGGGGAACAGGCACTCCCCTGACTCACTGCAGTTTAAAGCTGACTGTGATTGGTACTGTTATGGGCTGAACTGTGTCACCTAGTGCAAACTGTCATGTCAAAGCCCTAACTGCCCGTACCTCAGAATGGGACTGTATTTGAAGATAGGGTCCTTAAACGGCAATTAAATTAAAATGAGGTCTTGTGGATCGGCCCTGATCCAATCTGACAGGTGTCCCTGTAGGAAGAGGCGATTAGGACACAGGCACACACAGAGGGCACAGCATGTGGGGACATGGGGAGAAGATGCCGTCTGCAAGCCAAGGAGAGAGGTTTCCAGAAAATGGTTCAAAACCTGCCGACACCTCACTCTTGGACTTCTAACGTTCAGCACTGTGAGAAAATAAATTCCTATTGTTTAAGCCACCCCGTCTACAGTATTTTGGATGGCCGCTCTGGCAAACTAACACAAGCGTGATAAGAGAGACAGAAAATGTGCTGCAGGAACGCCAAGGAAACAGAGAAATCCCCAGGAGAAGCAAGTCAGCACAAGGGTTACTTGTGTGGGCTCCAGAGTGGCCTGGCTGGGTTCCAACCTCCCTGATCTGCCACTTCCTTGTGAGAGTCCCCACCTGGCATGCTGGTTGGAAGGATTAATAAAATAAAGCAGGGATGGCCAGGATCAAAGAGTGAGGCACCGTAAGGGCAGCTATTTGTGGAGGAAACCTGTGTCACCTAAACTGGGGACCCGAAGGCAGAGGACGCTGCAGGGCTGCTGGTGGAGGAAAGGTCCTGTCCAGCAGAGGGGACCCCATGAGCCAGGGCTTGTGGTTGGGCTGGGCAAGGTCCAGGAAAGGCAAGTCACCTGGGGGAGGTGGGGCTGGAGGAGGGAGGTCTGGGCAGGAAAATCGGGGCGAGATGGCAGGTGGGGAAAACTGGAACACCAGACTAGATTCTGTTCCCAGGGAAAGAGGAACCATCTGAGGTTTGTAAAGCAAGGAAGTGGCAAGATGGGAAGGGAATCCCGACAAAGCCTCCAGAAACAAGATTGAGATTGAGGAAGGAGAAACAGAGTTCGGGGCTTCTGTGATGCAAACGAGAGGCCAGTGAGTGACTTGGGTTCTTCTATTTGCTGATCTGAAATATTAATTTCGGTGTTTGCATGCATAAACAATTCGAGAGCCCAGATGCCGTCGCTCCTCTCCAGCTCTTAAAAGGCTTTCTGTGAAAGTGTTCCTGGAAGAGACAGTTAATGCCTTGCCTCCCTTGCCCTGAAATTGATTTCTGAGACCCAGGGCCCTGAATTTGTGAGCTGGCTCTCTCAGGCCCAGCCTCTCAGCCCATGGCACCTCCTGGGTATGGGTATGTAAGGAGACTCAGGAGCTCAGTTTCCAAAGATAGAGTAGTCTTTAGGGAATTCAGTGGGCGGTGGCTAATGAATAAATAAGAGAGTGCCCTCCGTGCTCCTGCATTTACCAGTGCCATGCTGTTTAACCTTTTATCAGACAGTGTGAGTACGCGCCCTGTCCTTCCGCAGGAATACAGACTGGCTGTGCAAACTGTCATTTCTTTCTAACTTACCCATTACCTGGGTAGCAGAAAAGTTGAAAGTTGCTGGTAGGTTGGATATTATGTAGTTCAACTCTCCTGTTCTACAGATGAGGAAACTGAGGCCCAGGGAAGAGATTTACTCAAAGCCTTCCAGGTTTGTTAGTGCCACAGATGATGCTGGAACTCGGATGCAGGGACTCCCAGCTCAGGGTTTCGTAACATTCGGCGTCCACTGAAAAAGCGTTGCCCAATACAAAGACAACACAAGCTACGCGTGTAGTTTTAAACCTTTAAGTGGCCACATTAAAAGATAAGAAGAAACAGATGAAATTGGCCTTAATATACACTCACACCAGGGATGCACTCTGAAAAATATGTCATTAGCTGGTTTCATTGTTGTGCAAACATCATAGAGTGTACTTACACAAACTTAGATGGTACAGCCCATGCCACTGTATAGATCTGTTATCGTCTTACCGGATCACTGGTAATGAGTCAGTGGTCCGTCATTGATGAAATGTCATGATGCACAACTGTATTCTCTTGAATGCAGTATAGGCAAAATGTACAGATTCTATCGGTGTACACCTTCCCATTCACTAGGTCAGATCACTTTATGCACCTGCTCAGGCCTAGCTAGGCTGAGGGTGGAAGGGTAGGGGTCAGACTCCAAGTAGAAGCATGAAGGCCTCTCCTAGGAAAGCTATCAACGACAAGCCCATGAAGCCACACATTTAGCAGAAAATGTGCACTTCTCTCAGGAGCATTAAGCTATAGAGAAATATTCCCATAATACAAGTGTAGGCTGTGGTAGACGCTATCCCAGCCAACAACAGACAGAGGACCTTTTATCCAGCCACCCATTTCCAGGGTGCTTTTTGCTGACAAGGGACATCCGTGGGCTGCTGGTATTCCATCTATCTCTTGAGGTGGCCAGGCGTGGGTGGCTGTGCCAACTCCTGGGCAGAATGCTTGAACAGAAGTGCCTGGGGAGACAGAGGATTGCCCCTTACCCTGGGGCACTTATGAGGTCAGCCCAAATGACTCATATGGAATTCCCCAAGCCCCCTGGATCCAGGGAACTACACCAACCTCCAGAATTCATTCTGAAACCATGCCAAGTGCCAGAAATTTACTTCTTTCCAAAAGTTCAGAATTCTGCTTAATTTCCCTGCAAGCTGCTGCCTGCTGACTTGGCCTCCGCCTTCCTCAAAGGTGTCAATGTGCTTTGAGGGCCAATTGCTTCTTCTCTGACCCTCCAGACAAGTTCCTATGTTGGCACCACAAAGCAGGTGGATCAACTAGAGCTGCTGATAAACAGTGGGTTCCCACAATAACAAATCCCTAAAAGCAAAGCTGACATTTTCCCCCATCACCAGCTGGTCCATGGTGTGGCTTATCTGAGTGCCGATCAAGGTAGATGCGCCGATCAGAGGAGTTAGGAAGCTCCTGGGACAACAGGCGGTCCTGGTTTGATTATGCAGAGCTTGATTCTGGAACAATGCTGACCAATCCATGTGAGCTACTGAGACCTGAAGTGTGGCTCGACCAAATGGAGACGTGGTTGGTATAAATGCAAAATATGCACCAGATATCAGACATAGTATGGAGGGGGAAAATGTTCATAAAAATATAAAATACCTCACTGAAAATATTTCTGTTGTTTATATGTTCAAATGATATTCTTCGTGTATTGGATTAAATACAACGTATTATTAAAAATAATTTTACCTGTTTTTAATTTTAAGGAAACTATTTTAAAATTACCTATGTGGATCATGTTTTATTCTCATCAGACATCACTGTTCTAGTGGAAGCATTTCATTTGAGAGGCCACCACTTGGGATGCAATTCTAAGGGCGTTGGCTGAGATTCGACTAGCAGTGTGGGGACAGATGGCATGACCCTGGCGGTCACTATCCAGAACATGGGATGTGAAGTGGTATCACTGGCTAAGGGTGCTGTTGGACACAAGAGGCCACACCCCCATCCCCTGCTCCACTCACTGCCCTGAATGTGCAGCTGAATTCACTGCCCCAGCTTAAACCATGGGCTGAGGAGCCATCAGCCTAGACCTGGATCTCCCCACTGCTACCACTGTGGCATCCCCCAGAAAACCCAGAACAGGACATTGCCAAAGGAGTGCTGAGCTACTTATTGCTTTTATCCTTAGAAATGGAACCTAAAATTTAGGGCTGAACTTGGGGGCCTTGTCAACACAAAGGATCCTTGCTCTGTAGCTTAATTTTGGTGGCAGGCATATGACCCTACACAAGTATAAAATTGCATCGAACTAAATACATGTACACAGACACACACGCACACACACCTATATTATTTCCTATAACTGCATGTGAATCTACAATGATCTCATAATTCAGGTCCATATTTGTACACCCATGTTCATAGCACCATTATTCAGGAGGGTCAAAAGGTGGAATAAACTTAGCAATGAGTGGATAAACAAAATGTAGTTTATCCATATGATGGTATCTTATTCAGCCATAAAAAGGAAGGAAATTCTGCCAAGTGCGGCAGCTCACGCCTGTAATCCCAGCACTTTGGGAGGCTGAGGCAGGCGGATCACCTGAGATCAGGAGTTCGAGACCAGCCTGGCCCACATGGTGAAACCCCGTCTCTACTAAAAATACAAAAATTAGCCGGGCATGATGGTGCAAGCCTGTAATCCAAGCTACTTGGGAGGCTGAGGCAGGAGAATCACTTGAACCCAGGAGGTGGAGTTTGTGGTGAGCCGAGATTGTGTCATTGCACTCCAGCCTGGGAACTGGGAGACAGAGTGAGACTCCATCTCAAAAAAAAATAGGAAGGAAATTCTGATCCGTTCACATGCTACAACATGGATGAACCTTGAGGACATTATGTTAAGTAAAATAAGGCAGATGCAAAAGGACAAATGTATGATTTCACTCGTGATATACAACAAGTAGTCAAATTCATAGAGACAGAAAGTGGGATGGTGGTTGCCAGGGCCTGGGGGAGAGGGGAATGGAGATTGTTTAGGAGCTGTGGTGTTTCCGTTTGGAAGGATAAAAAGAGGTTTGTGGCTGGATGGTGGTGATGGCTGCACAACAATATGAATGTACTTAATTAAGATGGCCCAGCTCTTCAGGAGGCTGAGGTGGGAGGATCGCTTGAGCCCAGGATTTCTAGGCTGTAGTTCTGGGCTAGGCCAATCGGGCGGCCGCACCAAATTCCACATCAATATGGTGAGCTCTCAGGAGCAGGGAACTACCAGGTTGCCTAAGGAGGGGTGAACTGGCCCAGGTCAGAAACAGAGCTGGTCCAAACTCCCATGCTGATCAGTAATGGGGGCGTGCCTGTGAATACCACTGCATCCACCCAGGGCAACATAGAGAGACTTCATCTCTAAAAAAAAATAAAAATAAAATTTAAAAAATGATTAAAATGACAAATTTTCTGTCATGTGTATTTTACCATAATTTTTTAAATTTAAAAATTAAAAAAATCAGAGCCTTTTGACCTAAAGATCAGTGACTCTCCTTTACAGTTCACCCTGTTCAAGGAAGTAAACCAGAAAGCTATGGGCCCATTAGAAGGAACCCGACTTCCAGCACCTGCGTTAATAACCCATAAGGAAAGCAAGGGCAGAGAGTGGTCCTTGGTAAGGAGCTAGGTGCCGGAGAAGGTAGGGGGCAGATTGGTGCCCCGGTGCCCTAGTCACCCCAACACATCGAATACCCAGATGGAGCTCTTATGCCACCCAAAGGTGAAACTAAACCTGTGATTACAAAGTTAGCCTTGATCAAAATTGTTGGTAAATGTGGTAAAGGGAGGTGAAGGCGCTAGAAGGAGGCATGGATGTCCAGGACTGAAAGGGGATGGAGAAGGCAAGGGCAGATCCCAGTGTCAGCAAATGGGAATCTACTTAGGGTGGGCATTTGGGGACATTTTCTTCTATGCCATATCACCAGAGCTACAAAGGGTTTTTGTTTGTTTTTCAGCCTAAAGGGGTTGACTTTATAGACCACTCCAGTTGTGCCATTGAAACAGCCTCTGTCTTCCTAATTCATGGGAAGGGCATGACAGAACTCCCTGAGCAGGGCAGGGCAGGAAACGTATCTGTACTCCAAGCAGTTGGCCACCCAAAGGAGAATACTTCATTATGCTTCCACTGAGAGTCTCTGAGACAGTAATTGGGAGAGGGAGCTGCCAGGCTAGGACTTTTCCCTCATCCAATCCTGACTGAGTACAAGATAACAAGAGTCCATTTTTGGTCGTGTGGGCATTTAAAAGAGAATGATTTCGTTTCTTTTAAGTTCACATAGGTTGGCCAGAAGCCCCCAGAATGCCTGGAATGTGTATTAAAAATGCCAGATATCTCAGCAATAATTTCCAGCCCCAGGGCATTTACTAAGACACTCAGTACCTCTACCTGTACGCTGCTCTGAAGCAACGCCACGGCCATCCCACAGACACGAGCCAGGAGGGAGCGCCGAGGCTCTGCACCCGACCACAGCTGAGAACGTGTGGATGCCCATATGATTCTGCTCACTGCATGGTGTCTCAGCCACTGTGTCCTGAGCCAAGAGATTTGAGTGTTTCTGAAAACCAGCATTGTTTTCTCTCTTGGTCATGTAAGTCATGGGAAATTTTTGTGTGGTGATGCATAAATCCCAGAAAGTTTGGTTTAAAAAGTTCCCTAAAGTGTGGGTGACTCCTCGAGTATGTCCAGATTTAGTGAATATCCTGCATCCGTAAAACAGGCCTGAGAGTTTCACCCAAATGCCATCTCCGTGAAGAGGTTTTCCAGATTCACGGACACCCTCATCAGTGAGTTCTGGCAGCTGCCCGTTAGATGTAGGACTTTTAAACTCAAATTTAAAATGAGTCTAGAAGCCTGAGTGAGCAGAGTTGCTCAGGAATATTATGCTTCAAGGGCAGTTCAGGCCAACTCTCCTGTGATTTAAAATCTCTCTATAAAAATGTTATAATTCGGGCCTGGCGTGGTGGCTCATGCCTGTAATCCCAGCACTTTGGGAGGCCGAGGCAGGCGGATCACCTGAGATTAGGAGTTCGAGACCAGCCTGGTCAACATGGTGAAACCCTGTCTCTACTGAAAAAATACAAAAAATTAGCTGGGCATTGTGGTGGGCATTGTGGTGGGCGTTAATCTGAGCTACACAGGAGGCTGAGGCAGGAAAATCGCTTGAACCCAGGAGGCGGAGGTTGCAGTGAGCTAAGATTTTGCCACTGCACTCCAGTCCGGGAGACAGAGTAAGACTCTGTCTCAAAAAAAAGTTATAATTCATCCTAATAAATTAGCTGTCACCTTTGAGAAATCTTCCTTTAATGTTTTGTTCAACCCATCAACAATTATTTCATAAGCACCTGTGCATCCAGGCTTGATGCCACGGATTCTAATTCCTTCCCTTATCCTCACCCCTCACTCCTCGTCCTCCTCAAGAAAAGGATTTGCCTCTGATCCTCCACCATGACTTGGGCAGCCACTGAAAATGATGCTCTAATAAATGTGTCGATGTGAAAAGATGGCAGGGCTTATGAAGGAGTATGTATTTAATTCCATTTTTGTAAATATGTAAGTAGTATGCACATAATTCCACTTTTATACATACATATTCTTAGATAGGCAGGTAAATATATATTCATGTGTATATTTTAATAAAACAAAATCTAAAAGGATATATACCAAGATGTTGGCAGTGATGATCTCTGAGTAGTGGAATCAATTTTCTTTTATTTTCTTTTAGCTTCTTCTGTGCATTTTTCTAAAGGAAACACATATGACATGTTAAATCAAAAAAGGAAAATGTGTTAAAGGGAACAGTGGCATTGAGAGAAGACGGCAGTTACGTTTGGTAGCCATTTAAAGAGGTTTATGGCCTGGTGGAGTTGCTCATGCCTGTAATTCTAGCACTTTCGGGAGACTAAAGCAAGAGAATCACTTGAGTTCGAGACCAGCCTGAACAACACATCAAGACCCTGTCTCGACAAAAAATTACAATAGGTTAACCACCTATATTTTCTTCT